GACGCTTGCCAGCTCCTTGAGTACCCTGGGGTGTAGATTGTCAGCTGACTTGAAGGTATCCAGCTTCCCAAGCTGTTCCTTCATGAGGTCAGCATTGATGGAGGACAGGGGATCTGCCTTTCCCGGACCTCCCTGTCCCACGGTGGGCATGGGCGTCCAATGGGACTGATGAAAGACTGACGCAAAGTACCCATTTAATAGGTTGGCATTTTCCTGGGCGTCAGTTGTCCCATCTGGTTCAGCAGGGGTCCAATGTTGCCCTTGCTTTATAGTCATAAGAAGAAAGCCAGAGGCTCTGGGGCAGCTTGCATTTGGGATCATCTTTCTTTGGGGGTGTGAATGGGGAATCTACAAGCTTTCTTTGCCACAGCCACATTTCAGGGAGCAAGTTGGGAGCTTTGCTAGGAGGTTAAGCTGGGTTCAGCTTGCCAAACGGGTGAAAAATCAGACTGAGTAATTAAGGTAAAACAATGTTTAAAATTCACATAGAAGGAAAGCTTGCTGGGAAAGACTCCTCTTCCTCACCCCTTCCATTAAGAAGAGGAAGAAGTCCCATTCTGTCCCACAGATGCAACCTTCATAATAGGAGCAGGGGGAGAGTAGGCAGCAACAGAAAGAAAGCCCTCTCATTTCTTCTTATGACTATAAAATAAACACATTAAAAAAGGGAGGGCATCCTGCCTCTGCTCTCTGTAATCATCTTTAAGCCTTGCAGTTCACCTCTGCATGCTTTGGCTTCCTCATGAGCCTCACCTGAAGTCACATGAAGAGTTGGAGTCTTGATTCAATCCTCTATTATTCTCAGAGCACCACCCTTGCTACAATGGAAACATCTATATGCCAACAATGGGAGGACTATTCCTAAGAGTACCTTGACTTCTGTCTGGTTACAATTTTTAAGTTCCTGCTGGTATGTTTTCTTGACTTCAGGGTTGCTGGTCATTCAGTATCATGCTCCTGAAGGCTCATATAGCATGGAATGGGAGGTGTGTGCTGCTAGGAGAATTAAATACTGATGCTTGGGCAGTTAATGCTGTGCTTGCTCCTCTTGGAGATGCTAGAGAGAGTAGAGTATCTTGGCGCCCTGGCAAGCCTTTGTGCAGTTGTCTCCTTCCCCAAGTACAGGTCATAACGTGAGACAGTGACACATGGTCAGTACTCTGGTGCAGCTGGCTGTGAGCAGGGACTGGTTGTGACACACCTTGCTTAATGTAAGCAAGGCATCAGACCCTGCTTTGACACTAAGGAAATTCATCAAGAAAGGGTATCGCTGGTTGGGTGAGCTTGGGGTGGCACTGCTGATCACACAGGAGCTGCCACAGCCAAGTCCATGCCTATGTCCATCCTTGGGCTGCTTCACTGAAGGCAAATTCTCTACAGCCTCTGGTTGTATCTGGTCAGCACAGATGAACTGGTGACCTTAAAATGGAGTGCAGCATTGTCATGGTATATAGGACCTGCATATTCCTTTCTTGGCTGAGAATGAGCTTAGAGGGACTGTGGCACAGGCTGGATTTCTGTAAGCCCTTGTTGGCTGCATCTCTTTCTTTCTGTATGAATGTCACAGTGAGAGCATGGTGAATATTCTGTGTTCTGCAGCCCGAAGTCCTGGCTGGCTGGTAATGCTTCTTGCTAGGACTCTTGCTTGGCAATTTCTGCTAACTCCCTGTATTTTCTCCAAGTGTTTTTTTGCTCCCAGCTTTGCTGGCTCAGCTAATAGGTGCTTGTATTAGGCCCTCAGTGCCAGGCCCTCAGAGTCTGTTCCGTACTTTCCGCTTTCTCTTAGCACTTTGGGAATATGATAGTCCCTGGCTTTGCAGAG